CCCCTATAGTGATTTCATGGCGCTGTGATAAACCTTAAAATATAAAGCGTATACTGAGTAAGGAATTACCTGCCGATTTTTTTTTTTTTTTTTTTTTGGGGGGGGGGGTACTTTTTCAGATTTAGCTACAATTGTACAAAATGATTTCAATTCAATATAAAATATTTCACATATTTCTGTGAACATTATTATTATCTAACATTATTTTTTTATTCCATTATTAGAGAATTAGCAAAGTAACAATCAGTAACAAATCATACCATTACTATGAATACGGTTGGTATTCTTTTGTGAAATGCACTTTATTTTACAACGCTTAATAAGCAACTACGAAACCACACATTTTAAAAGTTGAATATTGCTTTAACCGATACTAGGGTGTGTGGACGGTAGATTGCACTTTCCTGTTCCGTTCATGTACAAGCTCAATCAAACCGGGTCTGTAACATTTTCAGTTTTACAGTTTTTGGTCTTTCTTTAGGGATTCTATCTTTTTTATAATTTATTCAACAACGTTAACCACATTTGGGTCATATGACTTCCATATTTCAATAATTCCTTGTAGCCTACATAACATTTATATTAACGCAGAAATCAGCATAATTACAAAAGTTATTTCAACCGACTGTGACTTCTTATAACAATAGCCATCATCAAAAGCAATAAAAATTCATGTAAATACACTTCAAAGACAGCGATTCTGTCATATGTCTTTGCTGAGTTGTTTTCCTTAGCTTCGTCTATTACATTGTTTTTGTCGTCGTGTGATTTAGTCTTGACGTTTAAGGAACTAGACCTCTTAAGGTTGCTTTTGTTTTCTACTTTAAATTCAGTTTCGTTAAACAATATTCACTGAATTCAGAAGTCCTATCTGTAATGACCTGCCATATTCATATAAGTGGAATACTTACGCTTATGTGATCTATCAACACATTCATCAGAAAGTTGTATAAGTTGGGGGACTATTCTTCCCTCTTCTATCGCATACTTGTATTTCATTGCCACAGCGGAATTCATTTTGTAGAAATCAGCGTATTCTTGTTCTGGCAAAGGGCAGAATTCCTGTAATTTATCTTAAAATATTGCAAAAGAAACAAGGAACATTTTTAAACACTTTTAATGCATTTCGTGTACCGATTTGTTCAGCATCAATATAATATAACGTGTATGCTTGGCACACATTCTGTAAGATATCTTGATGATATTGCGTTCCAGGATCAATTTGCAATTGTCCAGTGATAATGTACAAGTCATATGCATTTCAACATAGAAAAGGTCTTTCCACGCTTCGCTCAAGCGGCAAAGACCACATCATGCAATCCTGTAATGCGTCTAATGTTACTTATACATTTTCCGCTTATAATTCAATTGAATATTTAGTGGCTTTAGAATTTAATATAAGATTCCATGAAATTGTGGTATTCACACCATTACCTTTAGCTCAATAACTATTTCTATAAACTATACCCTGCAAATCTGAAACGACAGTAACGTTTTTATTATATTCCTTTTTTCACGCCTTTCTTTTGTGTCGATGTTTTGGTATGTCTTCGGACAGTTTACACAAGTATTGTAGAAGTTAATTCCATTGTAAATAATTTTATCAAAATCACTAAGTATATCAGCATTAGCATTGTACACTGGAAAGTGGCATTCAGGTGTTATCAATGTTTCATCTTCATTCTTTGCTGATATTGAGGGCAGCATTACTGGTACAAAATTGTGTATATGGACAAAAAGCCGGGAGACTGAGGTCCTTTACAATATAAGTAAACTGTAAAGTTCCTTCAAAAGGTAAGTGTCTATATAGTGACAATAAAAAGAAAGAGCCTCATCTTGATTTCTAAACGAAAGGGATGAAATACATTAAATGAATATATTTTTGGCAGTAACGTATAACATATTCCAACAGATAAAATGTATATTGATATCTGAGATCTCCCATACATTTTTTGAATGAAAAGTGCATAACCTCGCTATAATTGTTTTTTTTCCAGCAAAATGCAATACTTTCGTGTTTTCTTTTCTTTGTTCATATTTTTCTTTTACTTTTTCTATTTCATCCCAAAGTCTCGTGCAACTCTGGTAATTATTAACAGTTTTACGCCTCTTCATAAATGTGTTATCGGGATCTTGTAAATGCCTCACAACGATATCACACTTTGTTTATAAAGGCATTGAAAAGTCTTTTACTGGCAGCATTGTCAATTCAAAATATTTCTATGGAGGTGTATAGATTGATTTCAATTTGTAAATTGGGTAACGCTTTCCTGGTGGTCTATGTATTTCAGCTGTTATATATTCTCACCACTCACTTAGGCACAATAGCTAAAAGGTCAAGAATTTATGAATGTTGTTGGCATAAATTATTGTTATAATTTAACATAAAATATAAAAAGTAGTTGTTAATTTTAACATGGCATTCATTATTTCATTTAAGCTCTCTTGAGTGTGTGCAAGGTGTTTTAACAGAATTTGACATGCAATGAAATAAGGTGAATATCGGTTCCGCTTGCTCTTTTACAACAAATTCAAATTTATTTATGTTATGAGAATAGAACAGATAAAAACTTTACGAAAAGTCCAATTTCTTTTCATAACAAATTTATCAAACCATGTCATCACCCTGTTCAAATAGATTGTACTTTTCGCGCGCTTACTGCTGTTATTGGCCTATGTTAAAAACTGTAAATCCCAGACACGTTGAAATTTATTTACACTGCAATATAAGGTATATGTTCATATAGTGACGATTAGTAAAATAGTGACGATTACTGAAGAACCGTTTAGGGTATCACATACTTTAAAAATAATTACGCAAGAACATTTTCATAAAGTGTTGAAGTGACCATAGATCATATCGTTTGTTAACCATTAACCTCATTAATATGTGTCATTGTAGATGATCAACTGATTTTATGAGTTATGGTTATGAGCCCAAAGCTGTTTTACAGGCTTTGTTTTGGGACAAAACAGATGATTTTCATTTCAAAAGCATAGGCTGCTCAAACGAAAAGTGGGTCAAATGTATTGAAATAAACGAGGCTTATATAAAAAAAGATATTGTTGAAACTATCTTCTAATCTGTAAGTTAAAACCCAAGTTCTACTAACTTAATGAACTTCTCTTATATATATTTTAGTTACATGCCACAAAATAATTTCAGTGAAAGACATCTTTAATCAAATAAAGCATTGTGTTATATACATGATGAAGTTAAAAGAAAACGGACCACTTATATTATTGCTATTTAACATGTACTTATAAAATCGTTTTTTTTTTATTTACAGTTAAACCTGTAAGAAATAAACTTATAACAAACAACAATTGAATCTTTACATAAAGTATGGCAACAACTAATGAGTTTTGCCAAAAAACGGATAAATACAATAACTGGGTAAAAGGTGTTACCGGTCTTAAATATTTGCAAAATGGTCTGAGGCCATTTACAGAAAAGGTTATTCAGAACGTTCATACAGATATTTTGAAAAAAATCGGAAAATGTGGAAATTGCACATTAGAAAATATTACCCCAGCGCATGCTTAAATGTGGATGTATTCAACGACGGAGATGCAATTGTTCAAAGAAAGATACCACACATTGCAGAGTTTGTAGTGCAGTCTATGACGAAATAAATATAGAGCATCGCTTCGTAGATCCTAATGGGATAATTGATTTTCTTAATTTTTACAACGACCCCTGGCAATTTGCAAGATGTTTGATGACAAATATGGGAAAGAAAACAAACACCACAGCAGAGGATGCTGACGAGGGCTGCCTCTTGAGTATAATCATAAATGGTAATTTCTTCTAGAAGGAACTGGATATATATGTTGATGGAGAAATCTTTACGAAGGTTCGAATACTGCTTTCTTTAATCAACAAACTTTCCTTTAACAAAGTGCATGTATAACATTATTTTTTTTGTCCCAACAAAGTGGGGGGCATATAGCGTTGCACTTTTCCGTCCGTCTGTCCGTCCGTCTGTCTGTCTGTCTGTCTGTCCAGGGATGAATAACAATAATTTGTAGATGGTAGTAAAGGAAGGAATTTTTGCTGCGACCAAATTTAACAGAATTATCACCCTTTGTTGATTTTTTCACTATATACTATGTATAATTTTTATGAACGCAACTCTTCTTAAACCGGATGGCAGATTTTGCTTAAACTTCCAGGGATGAATAATCTTACAATCTTATGTGTAGATGGTAGCCAAGGAAGGAATTTATGCTGCGACCAAATTTAACAGAATTATGAACCTTTGTTGATTTTTTCACTATATACCATATAGAAATTTTGTGAACGCAACTTCTCTTAAACCGGATGGCAGATTTTGCTTTAACTTGCATTGATGAACAACCTTAATGTGTTGATGGAAGTAAAGGGAGGAATTTTTGCTGCGACCAAATTTAACAGAATTATGGCCCTTTGTTGATTTTTCCACTATATACCATGTATAAGTTGTCAGTGGGGGCATCCGTGTTCTTTGAACAAAGTTCTAGTTCTTTACTGTAATGCCAGTCAAGTCGACTGTTGAAAACGTCATTGATTAATAGTTTTATTTTAATGTTATTGTACTGTACTTTTACAAAGAATAAAAGGAGCAATATAAATTGAAATTGATATTGATTTACTTATATGTGACTGTATCAAATTATATATACATGTACATTTTTCCATGTAGCATGGACGGTTTGTTAATCTTATTGTCGTAAATAAAGTGACATTATGCCCATCCAATGAAAAAGTAAAATTTTACAGTTTGCCATCATAAAAGTGCGCAATTTTATACTTACTATGTAAAAATAATCAATAATCCGTGTGTCCCACAGATTTTTCTTTAAATATCGCTCGGAAACGTTCAATTTAAAAAGGAGTTAGGCAGTCTTTTTATAATGTATGTATTCTTTATATATTATCCTTAACACTTGACAATGAAAAAAAATGAGCATTATGTCACTTTATAATATTATAATATAATTATAATATAATTAGGGATTTCAAATATCTTAAGATACGTAAAGCAAGGAATGTGATGATGCACAACATTCCTCAGCTTTCAGATGATGAGGTTGAGGGATATTTAAAAGATATGATAGCAGTGTTGAAAGATCCTAAGGCACTTTTGTATGACTCTGAAGCACAAACTGCTGTCACACATTTAGAAACAGTAAGTTCCTTAAAACTTATTATTTAATAAAAAATTCAAGTGTTCATTATTCTTTTGATTTGTTTGATACACATTTTTTTCTAAATTGCATAAATACGTTATTTAATGACTTTTGAACTTTTATCCTTTACAATTAAATACGCGCAATATTTTACTTGGTATACCTTTATCATGCTTTATATCGTAGATATACTTGTCTAAATCTGCGTCACATTACACTCCGATTAGGTTTACGATGGGGTGTCGATGTCTGAACGGGCTGAAATTGCCAATTTTTAATGGTTACCGGCCGGTGACCATCCGGTGTCAAGTGACCGGTGGGGGCACCGTACAGGTAATCGGAGAATTTTAGTGCAGAGTTATTTTTTTCCGGCATCCGTTACATCGCCAACTCACCGTAGCAGACACGTTTAAATACCCTTTGATATCCGACCGGACACCATTTGTTATCGGTTACATACTGGTTAAAATTTTCAACTCCTGGGCGCCATATATTCCTCCAGTTTCCGAGCGGTATATGAGCGGTCGCCAAAGGCGTCTCGATAGGTTACAGACCAGGGCCCGGATGGACGCAGTACGTTGCACGTATGGTCCTAAGGTGTCCGTCAGGATAACGTTGGGGTTATTACACAGACCTTACGGCAGGTAAAGCCTTGTACTGTGAATCATTTAGGCGATCCGTGTTTAATTCTTGGACAACGGTGAAGGTCACTTTCGTTGTACAGAAGTTATCAGTACCTTGCGGGTGTGAAAGAGATAATTACTGTTTAACTGCTTGACAGACTGTCCAGGAACGACTCGGTGGCTGAACTCTGCTCTGGTATGTATATTCAAGTATACTGCCATAGTCATCAGGGTAAATCATAAATACTACCAACATTGTCTCATTAGCCAGCGTGCAGAGCTGAATCGGTTAAATCGCAAAACTTGTAATCTGGCCATTGTGGGTTCTATTCCCGGGATGACCAATTGAAATTACTAGGAATCTTTCGGACGAGATTTAAAGCAAAGTCCCGTGTACGAGTGCTTAAACACTTGGATAGGTAAAGAAGATGGAGAAGATTGTTTGGTGTACTGCTTTGCTGCTTGACTGTGGTCATCCTGTGTTGCTGGATAGTGTCGTGGTTTCGTTCATTGAACGCCGCCTTCCTTATTGATCTTTTTTTCATATTTTTCTGAAATTGTGGCATCTTGGCATCTGTATCTTCCGCTGTCCTCCAAAATCTAAAACGACAAATACTCTTCTGGACAACTCGCCTATGCCGGCAACCGATGTCGAGTATTAAGAAACTCAATAACACACACATGTTCTCTCAGTTTTCACACGCGTCTTTCATTTACAACCTATTATTGAAAACTTTGATTTCAGAGTGTAATAATCCATCCAAAATAGAAAGGAAAAAGGGCTAGGGGAGAAATCAGAGTGGAAGAAGGCAAGGAAAAATGCCAACAAAAGAAGGGGTGTGAATAACGGCCGGAAAATGGGATAGCATGCCATACAAATACCGTCCGACATCCGACCAGATATCGCACGTATACTTTACCGTCACCAGACGATTGTTGCAAACAAGCCTAATAACAGAAGGCGATTGGCCATTTATCGAACGGTAGTCTGCCGGTTACTTTTAGAATATCGCCTGGTGTCCAGAAAGAAGATGCCAAGGGTTTTCACCGGGTGGCCGAGCGAGTACCCTTCGGAATACCTAATAGACCATACAGGGAGAATGACCGCCAACTTTTTCTCGGAAATGATTGCAATGTTTTTCTGCGATCTCAAATTATCAACGGTTCCGATCGATCCCTCTTTATCGGCCGGTCCCCGCTTGTAATGTGACGTAGGCATAAGTTTAGAAATAGACAAAACCATTCATCGTTTCTAGGATAATTTCAAAATAGGAACGGACTGAAAGCGAACAGTGCAGACCATGACTGCGCCGACTGATCTGTGTCTGCAATGAACGTATTTGTGGCTAAAGTCGAAGTCAGAAACATGAGAGCTAATTGTCCTTTAATTTAAGAAACAAATGGTAATCTACAGATTAAGCTTCTTTTTTAAAGGTTCTAATTAGATATCTAGATATTTTCATCTAAGGCTTATACATAAAACATATTTTAGCATAGCATAATTGATTGAATTATTTCAAATGTTAACAGAAAAAATGGCCATGAAAAGTGTTTTGACATTTCTTTGACTCATATTTTCAATTATTAATCTATTAGTGGTTTTGATAGTTATTATAAGCTTATTTTATAATATGCATTTTCACTTTTACATGATTTTCACGTGTAAAATAGATTTGGCTTTTAAAAAAATGGTATATATGACTGTAAAAAAAGGCAAAAAAACTTTATGTTTTCTTATTTCAAAAGCTATTAAATACACGACTTATCTTGACAACTGACATGGAAAAGAAAGCAATTGAAAGTACACTGTCAGTGATTGAAGACGTTGGCACACAATGTGAAGAAGTATCAAATGCACATAAAATTCGATTTCAAGAAATAGTAGAAAAAGAAACACTGCGATGTCAAGAAAAATTGCAAGATTTGACCAATGAATCGATAGAAAAAATACGAAAAGAAACAGATAATTCTTTAAAGGGGTTGCAAAGAGAGCGGAAGAATGCAGTAAGTTGTTCCTGTTGTGTTTTTCTTCTTTTTTGTTTGTAAAACAGTATCTTTTTTTACTTTTTACTACGAATCATATGTTAATTATGTATATATAAATAAAGATTGTGATAAGAAAATGTCTTACCCGGGATTAAACAATATACTAGATTTATGCGAATGAAATTAAATCACAACAAGATGGCTTAGTTAATGATATGGATGTACCTTATTTAAACGCTCATATAAGGAAACAATTTACAACGGTTATTTCATGCGTATATGAGTATAAGAAATAAATACCAACCATGACAAATATTACAAGCAAAGTGTTTAATTAGAAATGAAATTATATGTTAAAAAAGTGATATTTAGTGAAAAAATAAGAGTATTTGTCTTAACATATTTTGATAAGCATTGTTTCTCAGGTGAATTAGAAAATATGGTTATAATAAAAACATAGTTGAGAAAACATATACATGTAAAATAAGAGGTGTTACAACTCAATATAAACTTTCAACTTCCCTGTATCTGTATCATTACTGCTATATTATAAAAGTCAAGAATTTACTGTAAATGATCATAAAAATGTATTATATTCCTTCAGGACCTTGTCGAAAAGAACGAAAACATTTTAAAAGACATAATACATCTTTGTAAAAAGAAAAAGGAAAAGTGCTTGGAAAACATACTTTTAATTGGAACTGCAGGTTGTGGAAGGAGTGCATTTATTAACACCGTTCATAAGGCACTTTCTGGGAGATACATAATGAAAGCAAAATGCGGACATGGAAAATGCTTAAGTTTAACAAGAACGTTTCAGAGGTTTGTACAAAATGATAAAATCATTTGATTGTATCTGATTTATTATCATTTTCGAAGACATTCTAACGAATGGAATATGCATAGCTATTTTATTATTCCCATAAAATATAAAAAAATTACTGCACGACGGTGTAAGGCCGGAAAGTGATATAAACTTCTAGCAAAATGAATAATAGGGCCGATGACATTATTTATTTCAAGGCGGATTATCGTTTTCTTGCCCGTCTATAACATTTATAATATCTTAGATCTAATAGTAGTTCTAGGATTAATTACATTGATATTTCTGTTGTTGAAGTTGCTCCTATTATGTTTATACAAAATTGATGTATTTGTTTCTTTAAATTTCAATAAAATTATGTTTGTACAAATAACGCTTAAATTTAAGCGATCAGTGCCGAACATCTTTCTTTCATAGGTAGCTGTTTTGATTTCGTATCATGTGACGTAATTGTTTCAGTTCTTTCTTAACCCCTGTTCTGTACATAAAAAAATATTATCATCCAACAGGTTTTTCAATTTCTACTACGCCTTAATCATATTCATTAAAGACTTTTGAAATCAAGTATACAATCAAGCATAACAATATCACCAATCCCCTGTTTGTTTAAGATTTACAAATTGTGGAATGAAAGAGGAGGATATAGTCAATACTGACCGTTACAATGATGTGAAAGACATAGTACCGTATCTTCCATCACTGATTGATATGCCACCATTAGGAGATGCCTACAACCCGCAGCTACAAGAATTGCTTGAACTTGCTATTGGAGGTAATATTTCCATTCCACCTGATTACTCAGTGTATATATTCCGTACTTACTACATTATCTAGATGGTGTAGTATCTACGGAATATATACCGTGGGTGACCCACCATTTTCTTGTTTTTTTTACTGACTTAAACCAACAGTGAGAGCAAAATTAATGGCACTGAAAGTACCGAATAAGAATGACTTTAAAATAATCGTAAAAAGCAAAATAAATTGAAGCGTTGTCTTTATGATTTATGTAGGAAACAAATTAGATTATTTGATCGTATATACAGTTAAAAGTGTGTATATTTCAGTGTTTTCAAAAAAGCATATAAAATATCTATTTATGCCAGTAACACTATTTCTATTGCTAATTTTATTACAATGTATTTAAATTTGCAGTTTTGACGTTTTCAGATATGCACTCGTCCAAAAGAATCAATATTCTTCTTAACAATGTTTAATGACCTCTTTATTTTTAACACCATTATTAAGACAGAATTTTGTTACTTAAGTTACAATTAGGATTTGATATCGATTTTTTGACTTTCAAAAATGAAAACGAGACTAGATGAAGTATAATATGATTTGATAAAATTATTTTGGACTCTAAATGATTACGAGGCTATATGGTGTGCGATGTGGATTTGATATAGAGTTTTATTAATAGGAAACCAGTCAAAATTGATAAGATTGGATACAATAATGATTTATATTGGAACGTACATTGGTTATATTAAATAAGGTGTTGAATAAATTTGTATATTGAACGTCGTACAAAACTGTTTATCCTCATTACTATGGTGTATTTTTGTTAACTTAATTAACTTTTGAAAATAATAAATAACGGCTTTTTCAAAATATAAACATATAATTATAAAGGCATATCTGATTATCGTTGCAGGTTACATTCCAAACGGAACTAGTATTGAATCAATATGTAAGCTACAGAGCGAAAATTATCCAGGATTTCTTAAAGATTATTTTGCGACAAGTGACCCTGACATGAAAGTTGGCATTGTGCTATTATTCTACTCAGGCAAAGGCATTTTACCAATACAATTGAAAACGAAATGTGAGTTTAAATGACTTAAAAACTTAGATGATTTCCATTCCTGACCAATTAAATTGAAATAAGTAAATTGATGAAGGTACAGTTTATACATTTGATTACCATTTTGTTTTGTGCCATGTAGTGCGACTTTTTGAAAACGCAGATACAAACAAAGATATTAATGATTATTTGTAAACTTAATTTCATTTTATTATTTTCACGTACAACATCACTACATTTCGCCCACTGCGCTAAATTTCCATTCGTTTTGGATATCCATTGGTCCAGTGGTTAATTGGTTGTGAAAAGACAATTCTATGGAGTAAACTTAAACGAAATGACATAACTTTAATAGTATCGGTTTGACCTAAAACTTTTCAAACAAAATACCTTACTCATTTACGTTACTTATATGTACATGATGATTTTTAATTTGGCTTACATATGAAATTACAGATGAAATTTCCGACATGGGTAAAAATAACGGAAACACCAGTCATATATGCAAGAATATTTCTACCTTTGTATTAGACATATCATCACAGTTGTTTAACTTCTATATTCTTTATATTCAATTTCAGACACTATTGATGTTTTCCATGTTATAACAAAATTTGACTTGGTCTATGATTCCAATGAGCCAATGATCTACCATGAAATCAGTTTAGAATATATTGAAAGAAAGGAGAAAGCCATAGGTGACTTATATGATGTTTTCAACACGCTTGAATATCACCTGGTTCGATGGACGAGTTACAATGATACCATTGGCTACGACAACATAAATGTAGACAATATCGCATTAACATTTGTCCAACGTTTGTTAACAAAATGTTACAGAGAGTCAAAACCATGCAATCAACCACGTGCTTTATATTGGAGACCCTTTCTTATCAAAACTAAAAGCTTAGCGTGGTGGTTTCAAAAGAACATATTAAGTATATGTTTTAGCCACAACTTTTATATAATCAGAGGGATGATATTTCATGACTTCAGCAGTTGGTTACTAAATCAGGTTGTGCTGGCGGGAAATCTGCATTAATAGTTGAGATTTAATTTTGTTGCACTTTGATTATAGAAATGGGAGCTCCTTTCATCTACATCTACATAAAAAACCAAGCCACGTTGTACATTGCATCGTGATAAATTAAACACATGTATTGTTAAATTTTGTCACATGAGTTTGTTTTTATAATTGTTTGTGTCAAAAAAACATGCTATTTTGTTTATTTAGATCTACTTTGAAATTCATAATATGTCACACCGGGAAAAGAAATTCACAAGCTTTATCAAAGTGATTGTAGTGGTGAAAAAATTAAAGTACACATTGAGATATACAAATCTAGATTTAAAAAAAAACTAAGCCAAATTAAATGAATATCAAAATTACTTTTTTATTAAAAATTAAAGTGTTCCGTTAAAGTTCTAAGGTCAATTGACTTTCTTTAATGTTAATACACTGTATTTCAATTAAAAACAAACATATAATTAAAAATGAGAGTAAATTGCTAGATGTATAACTTTTCTTGGTCTTTATTTAGGCTTAAAGAACGACGCCAGGGTAAAACGTTTGACAACGTAATTCAATCTATTAACATTTTCATCCCGAAATCTTTGAGAGTCACGTGAAGGCTCGTTAAACGGCTATGCCTCCACAAACCATGCAACATACATTAAGAAGCAATAATTAGTAAGATATACATCCGGAGGATGTTATTGAATCCCAACAAATTCATAAAACATATGATATTTTATATCTGTTGTCTGTGGTGATATAATAATGTTATAATACATTTTCTAGTACAACACTGAATTATGATGGACGTGTACAAAGCCGTAGCTTCAATCTTTTACATCTAGCATACTCTAAGTATCACATATTAAGCTCCTGAGAGTGATGTTTCACAATGTTTATGTTTCCAAAAATATGAAAACAAAACAGGGTCAACAAGGAAGAGTTGCGTCAGATGTACGTATCCCTACCCGACCCAGCAACACAAGCCTAGGAGCAATGAGTCTATCAGCAATTGGCCTAGCAGCAAGGAGCCCAGCAGGACACCAAACAAAAGCGGGAATGGGAACAAGGCAAAGCACTGACGTTAGATTAATTTTATTTAATATAATTATCTTTAGCAAGATGTTAGTTATATCTATATTTTGACATAACTGAATAAAAACTATGATAAAATATGTATTACTATTTATATAGATCTACATATAATAACTAATATTAGACATTAACAGGGTTATAGACAGCCAGCATATAAAAGGCCCATTATGCCTCAGAAATCATTTACATTTCTCAAAAATACAGAATTGAAAAATTATGGATTTCTGATGTATAATATGCCTTTAATATTTTAACGGCTTTTTTGTATGTATATTGTTTTAACATGAATGCAAATCTCTTATAGTTTTTGATATTAAAATTATGAACACTGAAACCATTATTTCTCTTTATTTTGTCACAATTGCAATATTGAACAGAGTTGTTTTACATATATCCAATAATTACATGGTTAAATTAGCATATATACATGTAACATAATCTAAGAGGGTGTTACAAAAGTTTAAGTACCGCATGTTTATTTTCCTTTTTAAATTTTATTTAAATGAAACAATTGGCGAAAGAAATTGCTGTTAGTGGCCCCGAATAAATTCAATTGTTCTCCTTCTTCACATTATTCCATGTTTTTAGATATTTAACAGTTCAACAAATTTTGCCATACTTAGTCTAACCAGAAAATATCTTGGTGAATTCCTAATAATACCTAATATCACATTCCGTGACATATTGATATTCACCTTCAACAGTACAGGTTTCACATATTTGACACAACATGAATATTTAAAAGTTTTGGCACAAAACTCTCAAATTGAGTGTACAAAAGCCATCGTCGTAAAAACTTAGATATGCCTCGTGCACATACCTACGATGACCTCTCACAACTTTCTACGTCATGTTAATATTTAATTATTGTCAAGATCGCGCACTTAACAATGCGTCATCAACAAGTAAAGAAAGACAAGTGAGTTAACAAACAATTGGAGGAGTAATGACAGTTGACTTTCATAGGTTGTGAATATATTTTGAGTTGGAGATGCGCAAAGCATTCAACCTTTCGGTTGTGTAAGGCTATCGACCTTCCGCGTGACAAATGTCACATTTTATCCGGCGTTATAAATGATGTGTCTGTCAAACATTTTGGGCTCATTCTTTGGATTCTTTTGTTTTAACTTTACCATCAGTTCAATGCTCTAGCCGAGCCATTGCTCTTAATTGTAATATCAGTATCAGATTCACTAAAATCTTTATATACGTGTAATAATAACGTTATGGCAATGAGGTAAATTAAACAACGTACATGCATTTGTATTTTAAGTCACACCATCAATTAAAAATGTTATACGGTTACTTTCAAACTTTACTAGTGAAGGAGGAAATCAGTTGTCACTTCGTACATTATTTAAAAAAACGAGCGGTAACCCGAGTGTAACAACTGACCTTCTGTTAGCAAGCTACATCGCTTAATCAATAGAATCCAAAGTCCGTTGCGGAATTTGAATCAACTTCGCAAATGTTTTTGGAATTCAAAAAATGATAGAAAGAAATCAACTTATATACTGTTTAGCCACGTGACATATATAAAACAAAATTCAATAGTTTGAAAAAGAGAAATTATTACTTAAAATTCCTAAATAAACTCTCTTAATTTGGCTATCGGAACTTTATGAGGGTCAAAATGAAACTTACGCTGTCGAGTACGGACCCCAAACATGTAACCAGCAATGCCAATAAAGGGTTTATTTTGAAGCACAAAATGGTATAAGCCAAACATAAATGAAATATGAGCCTCACTGTACAGCTGTCATTGAGCATAGCCTGGTGAAAATTATAAAAGATTTTAGCCCTGATAAGGGCTGTGTATACCGCATAGGAGATAACTTCATACGAGCTGTAGTCTTGTCGACTTACATGCTGCAGTTGATTTAAATCATTTGTCGATGCTCTGTGCCTCGCCACGACGTGCATGAAACGACTGAAAGTGATTTGGCATGACATTGTAATATTAGAATCGGAACATTTCGGCTTTTATCAATTTTACGAAGTCTGACGGAAAGGGCCGAGAAGATGCGATGACATAACGATTGGCAAGATCAATACACCACAGGTAAATTAACTGAGGTAGATGTAGTAAATATCAGAAAGGTTTATGAATGAATTATATATGTTTACATTTATTTAAGTGTGTAAGTGTTTACGCATTGACGTAGATTGTTTGTATATAAAGTATGTCAGTTAATTTATTCGTCACTAAACCGAACAATAACATATATCGACACTAATTTTATCTGACACGGAAAATAATTAAAAGAAAATAACTCATCATTTTGTGAAACAAAAGTTGTTAACAAATAACAAATAAAAATGTTTCGCGTGTTGTGTACCCTGGTACGTTTTTAAAATTCATAAACTATTTTTCCACTATAAGTGTCAATTTAAAATATGCATTTTAAGCAAGAAAGAACATTAGAATTATGCCAAATGTCGACATTGCTACAACAAAACATATTTTTGTTTTGTTTTCAAATTACAAATTAATATTAATAAACGCATGTTTCTCATGAAGTCATTATTTGGCTTCGCTTCGCTTTGAATTTCGGTGACGATGTTTATAGACAAATAGAAACCGCACAAATTACATCCTAATACTAGGTATACACAGAAAAGAGAACGCCCGGCAACACTCTTGTTTCCCTTGGGATCCTTTGATACAATCGGAACTCCTCGGATACATTCCGAAATTTGAAAGATGCGATTGCCTAAGGTACTAATGGTATTTTCATGGTGATTCTGGAAATGGAATATAAAAAACAACATTTCGGAAAGAGAATAGTTTACAATGGACACAAGAACTAATAAAAAATATTTTATAAATTGAACAAAAGAGGTTAAGCAATATTCAAGCAAAAAATTCATTTAAAGCTGCATGCCTAGATAACCCAAAAATTTCAAGACATTCAAATTTAAGAAAAATGTACTATTATGTCAAGGAGTAAAAGGATTCAAGACTCAAGTAATGATTAACATGGTTTGCCGTGTGGAGGCTGTAAAAAGTCGCCCATACGCCACTTTCCATGGAATGGAACCGAGTCTGCAGCATTTTTAATTTTGCTGTTTTGGAATTTCTTTAGGGATTCTTACTTTCTCTATTTTTTTCGCCATATAAGCGTTTTTTGTGCCATGTGGAGGCTGTAAAAAGTCGCCTCATACATTCAATGAGAGATGTTATATTTCCCATCTTTAAAGATCGATCAACTTGTCATTATTGTTGTGTTTATGGTATTTTAAATTGTAACTATTTGGCTTTATCGATTTAGGTGGTTCCTATAATTCTACTTGAATATTGTTCAATCACCCTTAGGATATGTTGCCTGCTTTTTAAATTTTTATGTCTTATCTGTGATAAGCAGGCTTCATAACATCTGATCCCCTTTCAAAATTCCATTTTATTTAGTTCCGCCCATTGTTTTCTCATTAAGGGCATACGCATTCTTCTACTTGGGCCCTTACACCGATTTTGATAACCGCCCTATGGATACATCTGCGGGTGTTTCTAAATTCAAAATTTCACCATTTTTGTTTTAAATGTTGAATTCTGCTTAAGCCGTTGCTAGGGGGCGTGGACGGTATCTTGCACTTCCCACTACCGTCTATGAACAGGCTTAATTAAACCGAGCCTGCAATATTTTACAATTTTGCTGCGTTAAGCTTTCTTTAGGAATGGTACTACTGTGTCACATTGAAGGTTCCATAACCGCCATATGAACACGTCTGCAGATTTTTCTAAATTCAAGATTTTACAATAACATGTTTAAATGTTTAATTCTGCTTAAGCCAGTTCCATGGGAGGAGGGGGGGGGGCGTCGACTGTAGTTTGCACTTGACAGTACCGTCCATGAACAGGCTCAATCAAACCGAGCCTGTAACATTTTCAATTTTGCCGTTTTGGAATTTCTTTAGGGATTCTCATTTTCTCTATTTTGTGCGACAAATTACTGATTTTGCAGTAGTTCTCAACATATTTCTACTGCCTGATTAGCGCATCAAGGCTATTTCTTTACGTGGATTGTAAGTACCATTTGTAATGTGGAAATTACTTCATCAATCGTCTGCAGCCGTGTACATAGATTATATAAACGTCTCGATAATCCAACGAAATGCGACGCTGCAAATATGCAGTATTAAAAAGTTTATGCTATTTCAACCAGTTAAAACCATTATACATTATTACCTTTCGTGTACGTATACGAGGATTGATAAAAAAATTCTCGGCCCGATATACTTCCGGTAGTCAGAGAACCCAACTAATGGTCATACTTTTCAATATAATCGCCCTTTACACCAATACACGTTGGCCACTGTTGTCCACCTGTGAAATTGCGGATAGTAATGCTTTAGTTACATGGAAACGTAACATCTTTAAAATTATTGATTCACTTATTAATTTTTATCGTGGAAATGAACATCTTTTGCCACCTAAACCAAGTTTTAAGACATCTGAAAAAGGATATTCTAGCTTTTCATTCAAAATTTGTTTTGGTGCCAGCTGACAAGGCGGCTAATAATATTAAAATTGTACGACATCATTTTTTGATCTTCATATTACTATCAACAACAATTCTATTCACACGAAAATCTATGATAAAAGAGATGACTTTGGCTTTTGTATAGTTAATTATCCACATTTGGATGGAGACGTACCCCATGCAGCGTCTTACGGGATATGTGGTTCTCAGTTAATTAGATTCGCTTGAGTACAGGATTTCAACGAGCGGAATATTTTTACTGCCAGCAAGCTTCTAAAACAGGGCTACCGCAATCATAAATTATATAATAATAATATTTTACAAAATTTTACAATCGTAATTTTGATTTAATTTCAAAATTCATTAGTGATTTAAAACTCTTCTGTGACAAGGGAATAGCCAGCCTGGTGTTTATGGCGATGTGATTTACAAACTTCGTAAGATTTTGGGTCATGGTAATTTTTCTGCTGTTTTTACTAAAATCATTAAACGTTTTATTAAAAGATGTTATGACCCTACTATTTTAAGACATACTGCATGCTTAGTGTTCAACCCTTTTACAGTTTGACACTACGCTTTCCTCTTTTGATTACATCTGACGGACCAAGTGGGAGACTCTATGATGGAAGTTCTAAAAGCCCTTTGGGACTGGATTGTCTTAATGTTCGTCTTCTGCCTTGCTTCGTCGGGCCCTTGTAGGTGATTTTCTTGTTGCTCTGTCTTCCTTTAGGACATTGAGTACTTTAGTTATGGTCATTGGGTTTACTTTTATATGTTT